ATGAAGCAGCTGCTGGGTTCAAACTGCTAATCTTTCAGTTGGCAGCCAAGCTGCTTTAACCACTGTGCCATGAGAGCTTCTTAGGATCTGTGGGAGGGAAGGAGGGCTATTGGGAACACACACACACACATCCAGTTCCTCTACTGCAGGAAGTATTGTCTTTTATTGGGTGTCTTTGTGCTGTCACTCCTTCCTCCTTTTAAAGCAAGAGAGAAGTGAAAATAAAGTATATGAAGGCAACGCGTGTGTCTGTAAGCGACTCATGAGAAAGCAAAGGGTAGGAACTTACAGAACTGTCTTAACATCAAATACAGCAAAATCAACAACCAGAAAAAAGCCAAGGTCACATAGCTAAACTGGAAATCTCTAGAACAGATCTCAGATGGCTGCTTGGCTGATTTAATCCTGCAAGCAGCATTTAGAGAGGACCGAGTCCGTCAACCAATCAAAGGCAGTGCTTTAGGCCAAGACAGAGAACCTTGGACACTGATAGGCCTTCACCAGACCAGGAGCGGTAGATGGTAGCTTTGGTGTCTAAGGGACAGACCCGATCCCCCAGCGTGGTCAACTTGCCCTGGCTCACTCCCTGAGCAGCCAGAAACCCCTCCTTGTCCTTTTCAAGCAATCCTCAAGCACCCTGGAGAGTCCTCCAAGTAAAGCCATAGACACCACACAGAAGCAAAAATAGAACAATGTGCCCTGTGACGTCTAGGTTTCCGTTCTGTGGACATTCTCTTGGGACCATTTATCAAAAAGAAGCCGAGGCACTTGCTGCAGGGACAAAACACCACACGTTGACTCCGTGCCCACAAACCGAGAAGCCCGCCTCGCTGCACCGAGCCTGCTGCCCGATCAGCCAGCCATCAGCGTCCTCCCTTCCTCCTCCCTGAACTGGGCCATGATTCATCGCTCTCTAGGTTTCTGTCACCAGTGCCAGCTGGCACACTTGCCATCTCTGCTGCCTTCCTCAGCCCCAGTTAGGGACGCATAGAGAGGCCATAATGTTGGTGTCACAGGAGCAGATGGTGAGA